CTACCCAGCTACATAAATAAGTATGAATTTCTGTTGTCTAGCTAAAAATCGATGACGGTTGAATCGATTTGACTAATTTTGGTTTTGAAATGACCGTGGAAGTCCAGGGAAGGCTTAAAAGATGAGAAAACCAAAACAGTCGGTTAAAACAAATTTGAGGCGGTATAAAGCTTGCCGGGTCAGCTAGTCATATAAAAAGGTCCTATATAACAGATCGGCATCCCTCTAGTTAGGTAGTAGGCAAAGAGGTGGTTTGTTATGGCATAGAGGTAAACGAGCAGACAGTTCACCTGATGGTAAGCAATCGGCGCCGCCCCATGTACAATCGCAACAATAGAGGAGTTACAACTGCGTTGCCAGCTTTTTAGTGATTTTGAATACCCAATAGGGAATGATATCTAATAGGGGGATTTGTGTATAGGGGGTGAGGGGGGATTGGGTTTCCGGTTACGCAAAAGTAACACTAGACGAGTTACAAATGCGTTGTCGGCACTTCAGTTTGGATATTGGGGGTATGGGGATGGGGGGATGGGGGATGGGGGAAGGGGGATTGTGTCTCGAAAGGCTGCATACAACGCAAGTGTTGTTTTATTTCTGTTTCCTAAGTCTCTTTCTCCACAATTTCAGGAAGATCTCTGTCACTAGTCTGATCGTAATAATCTTCAGGTATCACGTAATTTTCAGGGGGACGCATTGGACCATACATTTTTGTTTTTGTACTCTTTTCTTCTCTAACTCCCTCTTCTACGCTAGAATCTCCTTTCTCTTGTTCATTTCTTTTTACTTCTCTGTCATTCTTGCTTTCTCCTTCTGTATTTAATTTCTTTTCTTCTGTTTGGTGATTATTTGATGAATGTTCATCATCAGCATCATCATCATCGTCCATTTCTTCGACAAATTCGGATTCTTCTTGTTTGACATCTCTTCTAACTTTGACTTTCTTCTCTGTGTCATCTTTCAGTATTAATCTGAGAATAAAAAAAGAATATTTACGTTTTGTTTGTTAATAACGCTCTATTAATTTTTAGGGATCAACTTATAAGTGGCCACTGGTGACCAAAGGCCTCTTCTCACACTTGCTCAGATTTCAAACTTATAATTTAGGACTCTAGGTTTTGTAGGTGTCCTGCAGGTTAAGAGGACTGCTCCTCATGCATGAAGGTACTGTGTATCGGTTCGAAACCTGACAAGTACCAATGTGTCATTTTCCGAGTTACATGTACTTTCTAAGATTAATTTATTATATGGGATTATTACATGGGACTCATAACATAAATAGTGAAAAGTGGGTGTTACATTGTATAGTGGCATTAAGTGCCGTAATGTGCACATCAGCCTACCCCTTTGGGGATAAAAGGCGTGATGTTATGTTATGTCTAAGATTAATTAGACACCAGTGACAAACGGCGTGGAAAAACATCGTGAGGAATCGTGGGCTTATAATTTCTAATTATAAGTTTGTAATCGGCAACCCGCATTGAGCAAGCGTGGTGGTTAATGCTCAAACCTTCTCCGTGTGAGAAGAGCCATTTGGTCAGCAGTGGGCATTTATAGGCTGGGCAGGGCAGGGCATTTATAGGATGATAATGACTAAATCTCACCTTTTTCCATATACAGCGGAGTTGCTCGCTTGTTTAATGTGTATCTTGGAGTCTTTCTTGACGAGTGGAGGAAGGTGCGCCGGCCGAGCTAGCTCAGCCAGGCGCTGTGTCTTTGACAGATCCGCCTTCAACTTCTGAATGGTCATCTGGAAGAATATAGTGGTAATATGGTCAAATTAAAGACTGCCTCGTTGGCCGAGTGGTCGCAATTGCGACTGCCGAGCAAGGGTTCTCGTTCGATTTCCGGGCCGGGCAAAGTATTACTGGGCTTTTTAAAAAAAATCTCAGTAGTAGCACGAAGTCTGGAATTGTGCCCGGTATATGACAATAGGCTCACCCCCAATTACATGGGACTCATAACATAAATAAGGAAAAGTGGATGTTACATTGTACAGTGGCATTGAGTGCTGTAATGTATACCTCTGCCTACTCCTTCGGGGATAAAAGGCCTGATGGTATATTATGACTATTTGAAAAATACCACATTAAACCTTACCTTAGTCCTAGATATCTCAGCTTTAGTAGCCATACTTTGTCCCTGTTTGCTCAAACTGTTCATGTATTGTTCTAACTCGTCCACATCCTCACTGCTCTGCTGACCCACTGTGGAACTACTCCGCAATGTTGACAGGTTCTTCTCTTCTATTTCTATCTTCTTTTCAATTTCTGCTATTTCTTTTAACTGTGAATTGAGAAGAGTAATTATATTAATGCAGGTTTTGACTTGGTGCGCAATGGTCTCGCACTGCACACAGAGGCTCTAGGTGGACACATAGTTCTTTATAGGGAGGAGCCGTAACAGGCGTGGCACCCTGGGGGCGCTGGGGTTGGTCTCCTAAGATGACTCCGTGCCTCCTTCAGGTGCAGATGGTGGCCACCGGGGACATGGGCGTAGCCAGCCATGGGCTATATGTAGCCGTGGAGGACATAACGGGTTGCCGGGGCTCCGACTCGAAGGGCAGGAATAGGAACGGGGAGGTATTGAATGATATTCCCCAATTAAAAATTAATAATCATACTAGCGACTTCAGCGCGATTTTACCCTCTTTACTCGGTCGGAAAATCATCTAATAACTTCTCCCGCCCGGATGAGGCGGGAGGGAGTGTCAGTCTCTTACTGATTGAAAACCACCCCGTTCCTACTCCTGCCTTTCGAGCCGGAGCCCCGGTAACTCGTTAAGTCCTTCGCGACTCCGTATCGGCATCAGCCCTATTGGCGTAGTGGTCTGATGGCTTCTTGTGTCGCGCGCGGAACGCTCGGAGCCGTACGCTCGGGTCTGTTTCTGGTCGAAGGGGGAGTCACCCATGCTCGCCGTCGTCCGGCCGCTGCCGGTGGCCGGAGATCGTCCCGCGACCCCCGACGCCCGGTGTGTCCTTCGCGATGGCTGGGTTGCGAGGACGCGTCCCGCCTCCTCCTTAGCTAGCATGACTGCTTCACAAAAGGAGGAGACGGCAACCCAGTCCCCCTCGCTCCGCATCATGACCCTGGCTGGCCCTAGTCAGGACGCGAAGTATGATTATGTATAGGCTATCTAATATTAGTCTAGACTCACCAAATCATCATAAGTCCTAGGTTTCTCGTCCTCCACGGGTGCGGCTCCATGTTTCTGCATGCGAAGCTTCCGTTTCCTCTCGACGCTGCCGGTGCGGTCCAGGAAGGTGTCATCATCGGAGTCGTAGTAGTCATCCGCAGACCAATCGCGCTCCTTGCGTTTGCGAGATTCTAAAACATAAGGAGTATTCGTTATGTTTTCTTGTAGGTGTATGTTTAAGGAGAAAATTAGTATTTATTTTATACTAGCTGTTCCCGCGACTTCTTCCGCGTAGAATATTAATTTTAGAGTAACTTTATTTCAATTTTCCAAAACAAAAGTACTTATGATATTCATTAGCACATCAGCTACCTAATCACACGTGAAGATCATCAACAAGGTCATCATCATCAACAGCCTATAATTGCCCACTGCTGACCAAATGCCTCTTCTCACACGGAGAAGGTTTAAGCATTAATCACCACGCTTGCTCAATGCGGGTTGGCGATTTGAAACTTATAATTAGAAATTATAAGCCCAGATTTCCTCACGATGTTTTCCTTCACCGTTTGTCAGTGGTTGTTTAGACACCATCTTAGAAAGTACATATAACTCGGAAAAAGTCACATTGGTACTTGCCGTTGGTAGGTTTCGAACCCTCTGATACATGAGAAACGGGCGTCTTAAACCTCCGTGCCTCCACGATATTTTTGGTGATAGTGATCAACAGTAGATAAATGCCCACTGCTGAGCAAAGCCCCTTCTCATACGAAGAATAGTTGGAGATAGTAAAGAAAGAAAAATCATTTATTCAGCACCAGGCACGATGCAGCATAAATAAAATATAAAAAAGACAATAAAGGTGCGACAGTGGAAGTAATAGAAACATTGAGTTGAAAAATTAAAACAGAAGAATTAGAAGAGAGACGCTGACAACATGCCTATGCTATAGTTCTCACCATGTTTAGACTGCCTCAGCAGCCCGGCTCTGTCCAGTATCCGACACGCCTCCAACGCGCAAGCTATCACAGCCTCCTTCTTCTTGCCTTTGTGGATGACTTCAGCTATCACTGGATTACCACGAGCATCGTCTATTGGGAGTTCCACCCTGAAAATTTAAGAAATAGATATACAGTGTGAGTCTTTATGAAGTGCACATATTGAAAAGGGTGAAAAAATAAACAATTTTATCGACGGAAAAAATGACAAAAAAATGTAAACAAAAATTGAATTTTTTATGGAATTTAAATTTTTTTTTTCTGGGGACATTTTTTCGATAAATTTTACATTTATTGCAAACAATGGTAGAAAAATAGTAATTTTTTTTTCAACCGGTACCGGTTTTGTAGACACAATTATAGAACAATAGGTTGCGGTCACCGGTGACCGCTTGGTGTTTGACAGTTTAAAGAGGCTTATTTTTCAAAAAATTATGGCTTTATTAGCTCGGCTTATTATTAGAGATCATTATTATTTTTGTTTAGTTTTAATATCTTATTTAGTTTAAAAGTAGTGACAGTTTATTTGCATGAGGTGCCAAGACGAGATAAAAAAAAAATTAAAAGCCCATAAAAAAATCAATTTTTTTTTTAGATTTTTTTTGACATTTTTTCCTTTGGTAAAATTGTTTATTTTTTCACCCTTTTCAATATGTGCACTTTATAAAGACTCACACTGTATATAGAGCATACATAAGCCGTTAAACGAGCAGACGGATCACTTGATGGTAAGCAATCGGCGTCGCCCATGGACACTTGGAACACCAGAAGCGTTACAAGTGCGTTACCGGCCTTTTGGGGATTAGGAGTTTGAGGATCGTTGAGGTTTCGGGGATTGGAGAGATTGGGGAAGGGGAGGGTAATTGGGCCTCCGGTAACCTCACTCACACGACGAAACACAACGCAAGCGTTGCTTCACGTCGGTTTTCTGTGAGGCCGTGGTATCACTCCGGTCGAGCCGGTCCAGCAGTGGCGAAGCATGGCTCTCCCACACTTAAAAACTATAGTCAGAATTTTAATTAGATTCCAGATTTGACAATAGCTTTTGTCATTTTGTGAAATAATGATACCACATATAATAGTGTAGTGATGAACACAAAAATCGAGAAACAATCAGTGTGTGTGTTTTATAATAAATGTTACAGAAAGTGACAGGATAGCGATAGCGATGACGGCGACAATTTATAAAATAACTTATTACCATAATACATCTATCTGTTTTATTTGTCATGTTCCTTCATGATTACATTTTTTTTATTTATTTCACACACAATTATAAAAGAAAAGTCTCAGATCGTTAATTAATCGTCAAAACTAAATTATCGGTTCAGAAATATTTAATTTCCGGATATACTTAGTTTACGGGAGTAAAATTATAAACGAGAAGAATCGATCCAGAAATATTGCATTTCCATATCGAATAATTTCGCAACGTCACTATTTAGTATGTGTCATAACGTTGCAACACTGAAATTGTCAAATCTGGAATCGAATTAAAATTCCGAGTATAATTAAGACTAACCTGAAAGAACATAACATAACATCACGTCTTTATCCCAGAAGGGGTAGGCAGAGGTACACATTATGCCACTGTACAATGTAACACCCACTTTGCACTATTTATGTTATGAGTCCCATGTAATAGGGGATGAGCCTATTACCATATACTGGGCACAATTTCAGACTGAATATTTTTAAAGACCCAGTAATATTTTGCCCGGCAGTCGCACTTGCGGCCACAGGGACAATGAGGCAGTATTGTACTTAGAAATAAATATGTATAAAACGGAAAAATATAGGTAGAAAGATATGTATGTATGCACGAACCTACAAACAAACTGTCCTATGCCCTTCTCATCACAATTATAGTTGAGTTCATGTCCCTCTCTCTCGAAGTATCCTCTGAGGGTCTTCTTAGGATCCTCCAGATACAGTTCCTCGTTGGCTGTGACCGCATAAGGATTGTCTGCTAAGTCCGGCTCCTCTTCAGCATCTTCTCCTGTGGGTTAAAATTAAAAGAAATAAATATAAAAACTAGTTTTCGAAAACAATTTTTTTTAAGGGGAAAAATCATCGAATGTGTTGTCCCGCCTGGGTGAGGCGGGAGGTAGTGTCACGACTCTTACTGACTAAAAACCACCCCGTTCCTTCTCCTGCACGTCGAGCCGGAGCCCCGGTTACCCGTTAGGTTTTCCGCGACAAAATATATATGATCACAACATTTTTTTACGTCCGTCTGGTACATTATTTTAAAACATTAGACACGTATTTAAGTAGTAAAATAGTTTTAAGTAATATGTCTGAGTCGTTAGCAATAAGGTCCATATTTCAACAACAATTGTAAATTTTAACTCACCCATCCCCCAATCGATGCCCATCTCATCTCTCCGTCGCTCCTCCTCCTTTCGCTCCCTCTCTCTCTGTTCTATAGCATCTTGTATCATTCTGTCTCGTTCTTCCTTCATAGTATTGGCTCGCTGCTTTATTTCTGTTACACTCAATTCTGATTCGCCTTCTGTGTCGAAGTCCGGACCCTGAAAGAGTTTTCAGACGTAAAATAATATTAAATCACTGTATAAGTAAGTAAATTGTAACACAGAAGTGGACTATTCCTATAGAACGACTTAGGCAAGCGCCTCATAAGCGCCTCTAATATTTTTTGGACGCCGCCGTCCCTGAATGCATGAAAAGATTGATAACTGATGATGAAACGAAAGAGGTATTTAGGAATTGTACCTCTAGCAATTTGCGTTCCATAGTCTCTGCCTACCCCCATGGAAAATAGGCGTGACGTTATGTATGTATGTATCGTGTAAAAGGCTACCTTTGAAGGGCGTGATCCAATTGCCATAAATATTGCATAGACTATATGTTATTGCTAATCGACGGATCACCTAATGGTAAGCAATCGGCGCCGCCTATGGACACCCGAAACATCAAGGCGTTACAAGTGCGTTACCGGCCTTTTGGGAATTGGGAATTTGAGGATTGTGAAGGATACGGGGATTCGGGAGACTAGGGAATTGGGCCTTCGGTAACCTCACTCACACGACGAAACACAACGCAAGCGTTGTTTCACGTTGGTTTTCTGCTCAGTCGTGGTATCACTTCGGTCGAGCCGGCCCATTCGTGCCGAAGCATGGCTCTCCCACACTTAAATGTATAAACTTACCAACAAAATATAAGTTCGAGTGCTATTCCCAAACTTGATCTGATGTCCGACCCTGACTCTGGTGTAGTGGCTGACCTTCACCCTGTCTTTATTGAGGAAGGTGCCGTGTGTACTGCCCAGGTCATACAGGTACCAGCCACAGGGAGGCTCGCCTTCTTCAGCGAACGCTTTGTATTGGAGGACGCAGTGGTACCTGAGGAGTTTATTGAATATTGTTTTAATATTGTCTGTCGTATCTGTCGTATCGATCGTATCTGTCGTGTCGATCGTATCTGTCGTGTCGATCGTATCTGTCGTGTCGATCGTATCTGTCGTGTCGATCGTATCTGTCGTGTCGGTCGGATTTGTCGTGTCGGTCGGATTTGTCGTATCGGTCGTATCTGTCGTGTCGGTCGGATCTGTCGTGTCGATCGTATCTGTCGTGTCGGTCGGATTTGTCGTATCGGTCGTATCTGTCGTATCGGTCGTATCTGTCGTGTCGGTCGGATTTGTCGTATCGGTCGTATCTGTCGTGTCGGTCGGATTTGTCGTGTCGGTCGGATTTGTCGTATCGGTCGTATCTGTCGTGTCGGTCGGATTTGTCGTGTCGGTCGGATTTGTCGTATCGGTCGTATCTGTCGTGTCGGTCGGATTTGTCGTATCTGTCGCATCTGTCGTGTCGGTCAGATCTGTCGTGTCGGTCGGATTTGTCGTGCCAGTCGGATTTGTCGTATCGGTCGTATCTGTCGAAAAGTAAACTTAAAAAGTAACACAATTACATTAACAAATTTATACACACACACCTACATGCATTTATATACGTATTTACATTTTGTACGGAATAGATAATACATACTCCCTTACCAGTTGGTAGAACCAGGTCGATAGAAATTCCATAGTCGATAAATGTAAAATTATCGACTGAACCCTCACCACTAATTACCAATATAATTATAACTATCGATAACCACCGATGATCGCTTACCGATGCGCGTGCGCATACCTGTTGAATCAGTCTTGCGGAGATATTGCTACGACGCGCATACATAGTTCTTTTACGTGCTTAACGCTGTAATAACTACGCTATTTCTATCGCAAATATCTTCTATCTATTCCTTATTACTTCTAATACTGACTGCCTTCTCGCTATCTCTGTGCTGTGCTTATATATGTGCTTGTGAATTTCCTACTGTGCCTTCTGTACTACACGTGTGTCGGATCCATTGAATAAATCTGGTGATACGTGTGTCGGATTTTTATTTACACTATGAAATATCCGACACCGTCAGACTACTCATCTAACAACCAAACTGGTGATCAAAGGTCGTATCTGTCGTATGTCGCATCTGTCGTGTCGGTCGTATCTGTCGTGTCAGATGTGCCTAATGCAATATACCGGACACAATTACAAACTCCGTGTTACTTCTGATAATTTTTTAATAACCCTGTATTATTTTGCCCGAACTGGGAATAAAATAAAACTGAAAAAAATGAACTCGAGATCCGTTACCTGGCTAGACTTACGACTACTGCGTAAACGAGGCAGTCTAGAAAAGAATATCAACAACAGTGTAGAATATTTAATTTCTATTATCTTCTCCATAGGAGTGTACTCTTTGGAAAGAGTTTACAGATGCTCAACCATAGGAGTTTTTATTTTTTAACTAGTGGACCCGGCAAACATTTTTTTTCTCACTTTTGAAACCTTTCCTGGACTTCCAAGAACATTTGAATACCAAAATTAGGCAAATCGGTTCAGCCGTGCTTGAGTTTTAGCGAGATGAAGTAACGAAAATTCATTTTTATTTATATATATATATATATATATATATTAATCAAATTCTAAATGTGCCTTATCATTAGTCTAATGACCAAATACCAAAAGGCTACAAGTTTTACTTGTACTTAAATATAGCCACCTCAGTTAAAAAATAATTACAAAGTTTTTTGGAAATGAACATTTCTTCCAAATTGGGAAATATAAGGCATTTTTTATTATTTATTTATTATCGTGCCACCTCAGTCATTTTACAAAGAAAGTTGTGACAGAACTATATTTAAGCATGACTTCAAATTGAGTTTCAGTGTTAATAACATTTGTTATTTACATAAATGATTCAACTTTGGCTGTTACCTGGATATAGTAGGGTGTGCCATCATCACATCACAATTATTTAATCGTCCAAACACATAGAATGCTCTCTTCGTCAAATCCGTCTTGTCAACGATCATCCCGGACTTTAACACCTCCAAAGAATAGTCTGTACCTGTAAAATACATAATGATATTGTCAGTGACAAGATCTCTATTGCTGAACATACGTTCGGCACTAAATTTCAGTTGGCTAGTGAAGAGCCGATTTTTCAATCATCACTTCATTCTTAACTATTCTATTTTTAGCCATGATTGTCCCACTGTAGGGCAAAGGCTACTCCTTCCACTCATCTCTTCTTAAAGCTTTCTGTAACCAATCCCTTACATGTAATCATCACAAAGGCGTCAAGTTCATTCCGCCATCTCCTTCTGTGCCTACCGCGACGTCTATTGATGTTGTGTGGGCTCCACTCAATAGTGAGTTTTGTCCACTGCTCGTCTAATATGCGGCAGACATGACCAGTCCAGTTCCACTATAAGCTAGCGGCTTTATGACCTATGTCAGCAATTAGAGTTTTGGAGTTTCTTATTCTGTCCATAATCAGACTCCTAAAATACTGCGCTCCATTGCCTGCAGTGAGTTTGTTGATCATAGTTCTGATGCTGAAGAGGAGAAGAGCATAATGTCTTCGGCGAAATGGAGGTTTGTTAACCTCTTCCTTCCCGATGACTACGCCTCTCATGCTCCAGCATAGCACAAGCCTTTTAAATACCATAACCATAGAATAAAATTTACATTTGACAGATATTAGTATGGAAGAATTGTGAAATATACAAAGTTACTCTTCAGAATCCTCCAAACTCCTTAAATATCTGGCATTGGAAAAATCGGCTCTAAAGTCGAATAGAAATAAAATTCTACAATGAGGTTAAATATTAAATTTTTTGAAGATCGCATTCATGTAGGAATGTAGTGATGAAAAATAGCCTGAAATTCTCTAAATAGTGAACTTTCGGAAGAATGTTCATATCAGTTCAGAAGTTATGCAGCTAATTCAAACAAACAACAAAGGTGTGCTTGCATCCTCTGGATATATGGCTTTTATGTATTACAATAAGACCAGTCTGTTTGAGTTACATTTCATTTATAATGAAGTCTAACAGGTCACTAGGCCACTCTTTTCCACTCTTCGCAAGCCCTCCAAAAAAACTTGTGGTTCCGTGTGTGAAAAATTACTTCTAATACTTACCGTCAGGGCAAATTCCAGACCATTTTGGTTCCTTATAAGGTATTGGCATCGATAACACATCGTTTGGTACTATCATAGGCGAATCTTTCCCTCTTTCATTTGATCGCGATGTTTTCGAACTGTTTTGCTCCTGTTGCTGATTTTCATTGTCTGTCGCCTCTTCAGATTCATTCTTGACCTTTTTCGGTAGTTTTCCAATACGACCGAAGAGTACAGGCTTTTTAAACACGATTTTTTCTTCGGTATTCTGCTTATCACTGGCTTCCTCCATATTTTAGGTTATGTTTCGTATTTTTTATTCCTAAATACGCACGATAAGTTTAGTTTATAGATTAAGAGCTAAACATTAGTATTAAGACTAACAATTGTACAATATTAGCAATAAATTACAGAAAACTTTAATATTTATCATCAGACGTAAACAAACTGGTTTACAATGTCAATAAAGTTATTTACTAGAGCTAGTTGTTGAGCATAATGCTTGCTATCCTGTTCTGTTTCTTCGTAGAAAAAGGGACAACATGATAGAGTTTTTTTAAATCTCCAGGAACATTTCTACTGTCTGACTCATTTCAGCATTGAATAATGATTACTCATGCACGTTTGCTTATCTTTACTATATCAGTCAATCACATAAATATAGAAATAATTTGAGAAACAATAAAGCACAATGAAATAAGTTTGATTTGTAACAGTATTAATGCTAACATAAACGCGTTCAAATAACTCATTCGTTCTATCTATTTTGCTTAATCTGTGACTCGTACATTCAAGAACTCACTCACGAATGAACTATTCTAATATGAATGGAACAACTAAATCAATCAATTCAAAAGAATTTCGTGACGATTGCCAACCGATCGAATAAACAATATTAAAACGAACTCTCGATTTCGTAGTGTATATTGCTCAAACTGTGTTGCGTGCGTGTTTGTTTGTTCATTTTTTACACATCAGCTGTAAATATCACATGAGCAATTGTGCCGCGGTGACCATATTGTGTGCCTGTACTCGCGGACCCTCGCAACAAAGATCGTAACAATATTTACTTTTATCAAAACCTTATCGTAATTCAGGTTGTTTAAGTGATTTCATAGCATTGCTGACGTCCGTTCGCGCGTAATTAACTCAGGTAAGTGTAAAGTTAAGTTAGAAAAAACTATAAAAAGAATGTCAAAAACTTGTTCGTTTTTTTGTGGTATACACATTAACAATTTTGAAGATAACAATCGAATTTGGCAACCGGTGAAAGTATATTTCACCGAAATTCTATCTTGTATAATGGTTCTATTGTTTTGATACATTTCTTTCGATTATTTCCCAAAGAATCGTGCCGTATCGCTGAAGGAAAGGTTTCGTTCTAGGAATTCTAAAACTGGTTTTTGTGTAGTCAGAATTTTGTGTCAAATGCTCTTAGAACAGTAATTCTATGTCAAAGTCTGTGAAATATTGTGAAAGAGTAGTATTTGTTGGTTCAGAACTGCTATTAAAATTGTTTGAAACGGTTAATCTATCATTGGTTAGGTCAGCTTGAAGGATGGGTGGGTCAGAATCTAATTTGAATGATATCATATAAGAATTGACATCAAATCCAACATGAATGATAGAATAAACTTATTTATTTAATTTTTTCTATAAATAAGACAAGCAAAATACATGTACTTACTTTAACAACTTTAAAATTTTTTATGGTATGAAAAATAATAAACAAAATGTTTCCTTGTGGGTTTTACCCGCATACTTTTTGCCTAAATGTCAAAAACAAATCATAAAATATTAACTCGTCGAGTACCGGTTTTGCAGACACAATTATAGAACAATAGGTTGCGGTCACCGGTGACCGCTTGGTATTTGACAGTTTAATACCAGTTCAATAAATAAATATGAATCTATCTAGTATAGTCAGAAACAGATTAAAACATTACATAATGAACTGTACTGGTTAAATATTAGTAATGTTTGGTTTCAAAATTACTTCTTTACCTATTTCTTAAATTACTAAAAACTAAGTCTAGTCCAGTTTTGTAACTTGCCCAAGAAGGCACAAACATCTCATCATTATCAACAGCCTATAAGTGTCCACTGCTGAGCAAAGCCTTTTCTCACACGAAGTAGGTTTGACCATTAACCACCACGCTTGCTCAATGCGGGTTGGCGATTTCCAACTTAAAATTAGGAATTATAAGCCCAGGTTTCCTCACAATGTTTTCCTTAACCAATTGCCAGTGGTGTCTAAATATAGTTAGAAAGTACATATAACTCGGAAAAAGTCACATTGGTAGTTATTGTTGGTATGTTACCTGCACCCTCATGTGTGTAAGGCGTCTTAACCTCCAGTCCATCACGACATTAGTACATCTATATTTTGTCCTAATTATGTAGGTCTAAATATTACTAAATTACTATTATCCTTCCTTATAAACTGTTGTGTTATTACCTTATTATTCCTAAGTGCTAACTATGTACTAAATTGTTTATAACAAGTGTGTTAGCTCATTGTGTGTATATTTGTTACAAGCTACTTCCGCGCGGTTTCACTCGCTCTGCTCGGCGCCTATTAATCGTAGCGTGATATTTTATAGCCTATAGCCTTCCTCGATAAATGGGCTATCCAACACAGAAATAATTTTTCAAATCGGACCAGTAGTTTTGGAGATTAGCGCGTTCAAACAAACAAACAAAAAACAAACTCTTCAGCTTTTAGTAGCAATTAGTATAGATTCAATCCCGTCAAAACCGCTAGAGAGATTGAAAATTTGGGACGTAATTTGGAATAGGGGTACATTGGGGTCTTTTTTTTTTAAGGGGGGAAAATCATCGAATGACTGCTCCCGCCTGGGTGAGGCGGGAGGGAGTGTCAGACTCTTACTGACTAAAAACCACCCCGTTTCTTCTCGTGCACGTCGAGCCGGAGCCCCGGTTACCCGTTAGGTACTCCGCGACTAGATTGTGGTCTGGAATTACATATAGGCTACTTTTTACCTCAAAGAAACATTGGCTAAGCCACTGGCAGAAATTGGTTTCAAAATAATAATAAAGTTACAGATGTGTGCGATGCCTAATGCCCAATTTTTATTTTAATGTCCGTCTGGTAGATTATTTTAAATGAATAGACACGTATTTTTTATTTTCTTACGGAAACGAATACTTTCGACGATATATTGATTTGAAATGTCGCGTGACGTCACTTCTATGTACATTTTGTACGTGGAAATGACGTTTTAGCCCCCACTCGTAAACTTTGATTCGTTTTATCTAAGTATTGTTTTATTGTACGACAAAATAAAAAAATATGTGTCTAATATTTTTTCATTACCTAACTTACGGACTAATTAGATTTTTAATTTTCATACCCTGTCATCATCCCAATTATTATGTATAAAGAAAATAGATTTATTATGTGTTGATTGTTTTCATTTATTATTTTACAAAAGAAATAGTTTTTCTTATATGTTTTACCACTTGTAGTAAATTAATAATTGCTTACGGTCCAGTGAATACAAGTTTGATATTTATTCGTTCTTTTATTGATATAATGTTATGTAGGTGTATATCTTTGACTAGTTCTGCTCGGTTCCTATTGTTTGTAGCGTGATGGTATGGAGCCAATACCCTTCCTCGATAAATGCACTATTCAACACATTATGTGTATGTGAACTTGTATGCTTGTAAACGCACACAAGACTCAGGAGAAAATCCTAATGTGGGGCAACATTAAAAAAAAAACAAAAAAAAAATAGAGAATTATTCAAAACGGATCAGTAGTTCTTGAGGTTAGCCCAAACAAACAAACTCATTAGCTTTATATAATAGTATTTTTTTTGAGGGTAAATCATCCAATGACTTCTACCACCTGGGTGAGGCGGGAGGGAGTGTCAGACTCTTACGGACTGAACACCACCCCGTCCCTACTCCTGTTCTTTGAACTGGAGCCTCGGCATCCCGTTAGGCCTTCCGCAGCTCCATATCGGGCATCAACCCTAGTGGGCACCATCTGTGGTGGTACTAGCTTCTGCATTTAATAGTATTAGCTTCTGCCTGCGACTTCGTACGCACAATTCCGTTCCCGTAGGATTTTCAGGACATTTTCTGTATTATGAACCTTCTCCTAACTCCTTATAATAACAAAAAAAGTATTAATGAAATCAGTCCACCCATTCACGCGTCATGCCGTGCCGTGACCAAGCGAAAAAGGGATTCATTTTTATATAAAGTCAAAGTCAAAATGATTTATTTCAATTAGGCCAGAATGGCACTTATGAACGTCAAAAAAAAATTGAAAGTGAAGCTATTTGCTCATTCCAAGGCGTAGATTCCTATGGAGAAGAACGAGCAAGAAACTCCATAGGTTACTCTTTTTCAATCAGGTTCACAATACAATTTACTAGTTACATAGTTTTGCTGTTTGGAGTGTGCGAGAACAATGTAACACTAAAATCCAGTCAAAGTGATCAAAATAGAAAATAACCTTAAGGACAATAATACAGTCTGGAGCTGTATAACTATCGACCCGCCCCGGCTTTGCACGGGTGCAATATGCATGTATTATACATAACTGTAAACATTCCCTAAGAATCACTCTATCTATTAAAAAAACCGCATCAAAATCCGTTGCGTAGTTTTAAATATCTAAGCATACATAGGGACAGACAGACGGCGGATAGCGACTTTGTTTTATACTATGTAGTGATAATGGTATGAGAAATGTATACAACAAAGTCATGGACGAAAGCTATTAACAACACTTTTCGACTTGTGTTTATTAATTTTGGTATTAATTAACTGATTTCTTACGTAACTCAGCGTTCAAATCATCTTTCATATGTAAGTTTTATATAAGTTTAAAGATTACTTTTATTGCTTAATTAAATAAGGTGTTTTGATAGAAAAGAAAGTTTATTCAATATTATGCAGTCAATAGTGATGTTTATCTAAATACTAACTAATTTCTGCGCGTTTCACTCGCTCTGCTGAGCTCCTATTGATCCCAGCGTGATGTTTCGTAGCCTGAATGCGCTAATCTATGGAACTACTGGTCCAATTTGAATAATTCTTTTTGTGTTGGATAGTCCATATATCGAGGAAGGCTATATAAAACATCACGCTGCGATCAATTGAAGCCGAGCAGAGTGGGTGAAATCGCGCGGACATAGGTAGTATTTAATTATATTTTACTAGCGACCCGCCCCGGCTTCGCACGGGTGCAATATGCACGTATTAGGCATATAAACTTTCCTCTAACTATTAAAAAAAAAACAGCATCAAAATCCCTTGCGTAGTTTTAAAGATCTAAGCATACATAGGGACAGACAGACGGCGGATAGCGACTTTGTTTTATACTATGTAGTGATTATAACAGCTGTGTCTTTGGTATCGATGGATTCACGTGGCGGCTTATCTATATTACGAGTATTTGTAATTTCTACCAACTATCGAACTATAGACTATCTTTTACAATGAAAAACTATTATGAATCGTAGATAACAATCGTGTGACTAGGTTTTCCAGGCTATAAGTACTCACTTTCTGTGGTCTTTCTGTGATGTGGTGGCCCGCTGGTTTTTTTTTAAGTGGGGAAAATCATTGAATGCCTTCTCCCGCCTGGGTAACGGGCGGGAGTGTCAGACTCTTACTGACTAAAAACCACCCCGTTCCTTCTCCTGCACGTCGAGCCGGAGCCCTGGTTACCCGTTAGGTTCTCCGCGACGACCCGCAGGTTTGAGACACCTGCTTCTCATACATTTATGTACTTACCTATATAATATCAATAAAAATTTTCTTAACACATACACTTTAACTTAAGCATATGTGGACCTCTGCCTATCCCCCCTCCGGGGAACTAAAAGCGTGTTACGCTTAAACTAGTAAAATCTACGTGTTATCGTTCATTTGAGGGTGGGCAATCATCCAATGTCTGCTCCCGCCTGGGTGAGGCGGGAGGGAGTGTCAGACTCTTACTGACTAAAAACCACCCCGTTCCTACTCCTGCACTGCAAGCCGGAGCCCCGACAACCCGTTAAGTCATCCGCGGCTCCGTATCTAAAACCATTAAATATGTAATTATGTATATATATATAATATTAACTATTATTATAATTATGGCAAGAGGCTCACCCCCTATTACATGGGACT